CTGAGCCGGCCGGGGTCACCCTGGCGGGCACTGCCACCCTGATGGCCGGGCTGCAGGTAGGGACATGCTGGTGGCTTCCTCCATGTCCTCCGGGTCCTCTGGCCAGCGGGGGCACGGGGTCGGGTGGGCACTCAGGGAGCTCAGCACGGGCTGTGCCCGGGGCTGCCCCCGCGCTGGGGTGGGTGCTGGTTTGTGCCCCACTTGGCAGAGCAAGGGGTGGCTGGAAGGGGATGCCACACTGCTGGGAGCATTGTCCCTGGCACTTGAGGAAAGTGGGGGGCATGGAGGGGTGTTATCCCCGTGGCTGGTGTCTGCCATGGCCTCAGCTTTCCCCGTGCAGGCACCCCACAGCTCCTGCAGCAACTGGCACAGGGTGATTTTGGTGACTGCTTTGCCCAGGGTGAGCAGGACACAGGATGCTTGTGTGCAGCTGCCTGGGACTGGGCTGACCCAGTGCCCCAGCAAGGAGCACCTCAATGGCAGGGGAGGTTTTCCTTCCAAAGCCGTTTTGAAGAGTGCTCATCTTGTCTGGTTGCTCCCTCTCTGTTTGGGGAGAAGACAGGGTGAGGATGCCACAGGTGTGTGAGCTGGCACAGCCTGGGGACACCCAGTGCTCAGGGACTCCCTGGCCAGGTGCTGTGGCCAGCAGGCACCCATGGAAAAGGCTCACAGGGGGATTGAGAAGCTCATGGGGTTCAGACAAGGGAGGCTTTTGGGGTGTCTCCTCTCTCTGTTGGTGAAATGTCCCCTTTTTGTCAGCCTTCCTCTTTTTGCAGCCTTGCACGCGTGTCCTCCCTGTCCCTCTGCTGCTCGTAGGCTCCGCTGGGACTTCCTTATCTACTGCCCCAGGGCAGCCAGACATGGCCCTGGGGCACAAGGCCCCTGCCAGAGTGGTGGGATGGGGTGCTCAGGGGTGCACGGGGCTGGGAAACAGCCCAGCAAATCCAGCATGTGCTGGCATCACCCTCTGGTGCCACAGGCCAGGAGGGTGCTTTGCAGCCCCACACCTCTCTTCCCCTCCCCATCCCCCTGGGTGCAGCCCACACAGCTGAGGTGTCCCCACCTGAGGTGTTTGGTCAGGGAGCTGATCCTGCCTCCTGGTCGGGTGCTGAGTGCAGTCTGTGGGGTGCACCCTGCTGGGGGCTGCTGCTCCATCCTGCAGGGATGCCCTTGAGGGGCTGCTCTGGCCAAGATCAAGCATGGAAGCAAAGTGCCTGGGAGCCCCCAGAGTGATGCCATGTGCTGTCCCCACAGGGGACAAAAACAGGGGGGTTAAATGGACCCGAGGGCAGTTGGGTGCAAGAGGGAGCAGAGCCTGCTGCTGCTGAGGCGGGTGACAAGGTCGCAGCTGTCCTGCCAGCACTCGGGGCTATAAATAGGGACAATTGGGAGCGAAAGGCAGACTCTCTCCTTTTTCGTTCCTGTGGGAGCGATGGGAGCCAGCGGGAGGGTTTGGAAGGGCCCAGGCAAGGAGCTCATGGAGAGCACTGCTGAGCAATGGCCATGCTGGGAACGGGGAGGGGCTGCACCCACGGTGGTGGCCATGAGCTCAGAGGAGCTCTGGGGACAGCCTTGTCCTCAGCTGGGACCTGCACGCTGGCTCCGTCCCCCTTACCGAGTCAGCAGCAGGACTTGGACCTGATGTGATGAGACCTGGGCCAGCTCAAGACAGCGATGCTGGTGCTGAGGGGGCCAGGGGCTTTTCCTGCTCACTGCCCCCCAGTTCCTTCCTTCTGGCAGAGGAAGGACCATGATTGCTGCCCACCACCCTCAGCCAGCTATGACCACATCCTTACCACCACCGTGCACAGGGGTGGGCACTGGACAGGCAGGGACAAGCAGGCCTATGGGCAGAGGGGGGACAATTCTGCAGCAGTGGTGCAGAGCACTGGACTCTGCTTGGCACAGGGTGAGTTTTGGTTTAGTTCTGGGACCTGTGAAACTTCCCCCCACCCACCCCATTTCCTTCCACTCACATGATGCTGTGGAGAGGCTCTGACTTCCCCATCCCAGGCCCAAATGCACCAGAGGGTCTGTCCACACTTCCCCATGGCATGGGGCACAGCAGAGGGCTCAGCACCCATCTCGTGTCCCCCATGCTGTGCCCAGAGGGGGTCCTGGGTGAAGCATGAGGCTGGCAGAGCATCTGCCACCGTGTTTCCACTCCTCTGTTTCTTCTCAGTTCCTTTTCTTGCACTCTTTCTTTTTGCCTGCCATGCCCTGGCATCGCCCTCTCCGAAACCAGGGGGTCCCTCAGTGAAGGTAACAGGGTGCTGCTCCTCTTCCTCCCCACAGGCTCTGTCCAGGAGGTGGCAGGACCATTAGCCGGGGGGTCCCGGCAGCAGGGCTCACGGGGGGGCTGGGAGGAGTGGAGAGCAGCAGAAGAGCCCCTGAAGCACGACCCAACCCCGTCCATCGTGTATGAGGCTGGGACGCAGGTGAGGTGGTGACCGTCTCGGGGCTGGGATGGCAAAATGGGAGCTGCAACTAAACCCCAGCAAGTCACTGCGTGGGGATCTCGTGTTTAGAATCATAGACTGGTTTGGGTTGGAAGGGACCTTAAAGATCATCTAGATCCAACCCCCCTGCATGGGCAGGGACACCTCCCACCAGACCAGGCTGCTCCAAGCCCCATCCAACCTGCCCTTCAACACTGCCAGGGATGGGGCAGTCACAGCTTCCCTGAGAAACCTGGGCCAGTGTCTCACCACGTTCATAGTGAAGAATTTCCTCCTAATGTCTAATCTAAATCTCCCTTCTTCAAGTTTTAATCCACTACCCCTTGTCCTCTCACTAAAAAGTCCCTCCCCAGCTTTCCTATAGGCCCTTCAGGCACTGGAAGGCCACTGTGAGGTCTCCATGGAGCCTTCTCTCTCTGGGCTGAGCACCTCCATCTCTCTCAGCCTGTTTAGCTCTGTGTGTTTGCAGGTGGGGGGGGGAGGATAAAAGTGGGCAGGTTGCTGACCCCACTCCCTGCCCTGCTGCCTCTCAGTACGCAGGACCCGCGTCCGCAGAGACACCCCTTCCGATGTCCCGGCATGAGACTTCACCGACAACGGTGCAACCCGCCAGCAACCACCGCCCCAACGCCTGCTGCTTCTGCTGGTGCTGCTGCTGCAGCTGCTCCTGGTACGTCCCACTGCCCGCCCCGGCCCCGCCATCACCCACCATCACCCGGTACTCAGGGGCTCCCAAAAGCAGGGGAGATATGAGGGTTGCCCGCGCGTTGCCCGTCCTCCGCGCTTGGTGCAGCACCAAGTGCTCGGGCACGGCTGCTGCCCAGGCAGGCTCCTGGATCCAGGGGAGAGGGGCGCCCGTGGCAGCTCCCACCCCTAGGTGCTCTGCAGCCCTTTGGTGCTTGCGTTGGGTTGGGAGTAGAGGGAAAAAAAAAAGGCTGCAAATGGTGTTTTGGAGCATCAGCAGTGCCATGGCACGTTGCTCTCCTGGAGCTGCCCAGAGCCCAGGACATAACCAACCCTTTGCCTGTGGCTGCATCTCCCATCCTCTCCATGGATCCCTGGCTCCTTATTCTCTGGATAGCCCAGGTTTTGCAGAGCATGTCTGCTCAGCCTCAGCCCACCCCAAGATTGCTGATGGCTTTGAGCTTTGCAGCAGCTTTGGTCTTTAGGGCCACCAGCAATGCCTGGAGGAGCAAACAGCCCCAGGGCTCATCCCCAGCACCAATGTCAGCCCCGTGCAAACCCCCGTGTCCTTGGGGCCCCACCTCACCTAATCCCATCTCAGTCCCTCACATTTGCAAGGCAGCAAGGGCTGGTGAGCAGCTCCCATCATAACCTGCCCCAAACATCTCCCTCCCAGACACTGCCCCAGGCTCTGTGGCATCCAGCTGCGGGCAGGGTGACCCTTCCCTGCGTCCTTCCTCCACCTCTACAAGAGCCTGTGAGCAGAGATGGGGCAGAAATCCCTCCTGTACTCCACTCCCAGAGCAAGCAGGGACCAGTGCCAAACATCTGGGGGGCTCAGGCGTGCTGGGCAGCGAGCCCAGGGGTGGCCTGGACAGGGATGTACCCGCAGTTTTGCCCACACCAGCCGCCCACGCAGCCGGGGGAGAGGTTTGCACACAGAGGTTGTGCTTGGGGCGCTGTCGCAAGCAGGAAGCGCTGCGGTCTCGTCGCCAGGCGCCCAAATTTGAGGGCCTGAGGGAAGTTGGCTTGGAGGCAGCTCTGCCCTTGAGCCACCAGCACCCCTAAGGGCGAGGGATGGGGGGAATAAGGGAACACCCTGGTGCCACCATCCTGCGCTCAGCCTCCAGGCTGGACGGGCGCTGAGGTGTCCCCGGGGTGCAGGAGCATCTGCCTCCCTCTGTCCTGCCCGTGGTGAGCTGGGGACATCACCCGCTGGAGACGGTGATAACGGAATTCTGGCAGCCACCCCCATGTATTTATTTATTGATGTTAAACTGGGACTGTCCACGGTGACTTTGCCACGGGCTGAGCCGGCACTGACCTGTGCCCCGCTCGGCCCTGGCACTCAGCCCGGG